GGAGACCCCTCATGATAAGCAATAAGGCACAATGAGATCTCCTGTGTGATCCACACAGTTGTACTTCCTGCCATGCATGTGTGGCATGGCAAGAAGCACAATTGTGTAGATCACACATCATATCCTATCACATCTTTACCTGCACATCTGGCAGGGGCCTTAGAGAACAAGGTAATTACATAGTAATCCTCTGTAAATCTGAGGATTAGATGATTAAAGGACATTTGTAATGGAACAGAATTCTCCCAAAGTCAATCGAAAAACTCCTATTTCTTGTTAGGATCTATTTCTTGTTAGGTTTTTTATCTCTTGATCAGTCCTTTCAATCCAAATGAAGTCCGTAACAATCAGGAATCTCCATTGTTGAGGAGCTGCTCATGAAGCAGTGGATGTTAGTTGTTTGAGCCCAATTCTTAGTGATTTGATTATAAAGCCAGAAGAGACTATTGTAATCATTTAGCTGGCCTCTCCAGTAATTAGTACGACATGACAATCTCAGCAGAAATGATGAGAAGTAAGTGTAGATGGAAACTGAATTATGCTTTCATTTTAGAAGGGACAGTTCCCTTATTCCAAGCCTAATGGCCCACATGTTTTATCAAGTCAGTTTGGGATACACTATATTTCATATTACCCAGTAACTTTGCAGAATACCTGATACAAAAGTTTGATATTACTGTGTGATCTTGTATTTGACAATTGTGTAGCACAAGAAATATAGGGAACACTCTCTAAAGGGAACAAAGAAATTTTGATGTGAAAATTGTCATCACAGTTATCTTTGATTTCTTGAAATCACTGATGGGTTTTTCCCCAGCTGCAGTATATTGATGGGGTAGCATATTCCATACCTGTCTGGTGACAAAGTAAAAGGATGTGCCTCCTAAGGTCATCAGTATAGCAGTTTGGGTTCTTTTTCCATTCCCTGGTCATTTCATGTATTTGGACAAAGCTCCTCTGGCTACTGATATTTTTTATGAAGCAGTGGGCACTGTCTGGGGTTCTCTGCTCAATCTCTCCTCCTAGTACCTTGTTTTACACCCTTAAACATGCTCCCAGGCCTCTTTTCAGTATTATTTTTTGTCATAAGAAATTATGTCCTTTTTGTGTCTTATGGTCCTTCCCTTACCTGAAAGACGGGACTTTAACTTGGTAGGGGAGGATTCTGACCTACTAGAAGTCAAATAGGCTAGTCCATTTCAGAAGTGGTGACATTTTTTTGTTTAATGTTTGAAGAGGTGACCAAACCTGAAGTTATTACTGATCATTTGTATTTTGAAGTTGTATTTTTACATAGAATCTGGTTTGGGTGTTTTGCTTCAGTGAGAGATTGAAGGATCTTGGCATATGACACAATGAAAGCCACAAGAATTGCACGTTGTGTGAATTGAGTAACACACAAGAAACATATCTTCGATTGAATTCATTTTTCTTCTTTTTAAAGTGAGATTAATATGTATCCTTCAAATGGACATGTCTGGCTGAAGATAAATGGTGTTCAAGTCCCAAAAGACTATGTCCCATACACATCTAATTCTGGTAGGTGACATGATATATATATTGTATTGCATCCTCTTTGCCAGGTGGGTTAACCCCACAGATATAGTATCAATATTCTGCTTAAAAAACAAGTGTATTACTGTAGACTCATGGACAGGATTTAGGGAACAGGAACTTGGTCCTGAAGGCTTCAATCAAAGTAAAGTTTGTTCAACTGGCATGAGTCATGCCAAAGCTGCTTGCACTAGTTCAGTCCATAATTGGGGATATGCAGAGGAACAATGGTGGGACAACATACAGGGCAAACATTGCTCCATTTGCACATCTCACATGCTATTTTTTTGCTCTGGCTCCACATAGGAAGACAGCAATGAGGATGAGCAAAAAAGGGGTTACTGGCTTTGCATAAACAGCTACAGTGCCTTAGTAAATCACAAGCCAGTGCTGTGGATGTGGTGTATCAATTGCTCATTCTACCCCTTCCTCAATGAATAATATTTCATCAAACTTTCCAGCCAGTAGAGCAGACCCTTTCTGGCCTTCCTGGTGAAACTGTGTGTGTTAAAATCAATGGGTGCTGGTACTGAAAGTCTGTTTCAAAGAAAAGTAATTTTGCTTTTGTGTTGCAGAAGCATACATGTTGATCACCAGTGAGAAGGATGGGTATTTGATAAAAGCCACAGAATATGGCATAGATAGACTTTATTTTGATGGACATACGCTTGAGGTATTCCCCCCACCCACCCCATTTTTTCAATATTTTAATTTTTATAAAATAAAAATTTCAATGAACCTTTTTGTTTTTTTCCCCCTGCAGATTCAGGTTGCTTTCTGGATGGCAGGAAAAACATGTGGCATTTGTGGAAAATATGATGGTGAAAGGAAACAGGAATATCAGATGCCTAGTGGAAATGTAGCAAAAGATGCAGTGAGCTTTGCTCAGTCCTGGGTTCTCCCAGAAGACCCTTGTGCTGGAGGTATTAAGATTCTAATACATATCAGCAGTAATTGATTAGCTTTTAGTATAGTAGTCATGTTTATATAGCTAGATGTGTTGTAGTGAATACAAATTGCAGAGGTGGACAGTGGAGTACTTGCCAGTTTGCTTCTGGACTTGCTTTTCCACTATCAGTGTGGTTATGTCAACAGCCAAAGTAAATTATTTTTTCTAAGATTGCAAGCTCATTGTTTGTTTCACTGTTACAGCGGCTTAGTTTCTATTATGCAATGCATGTGCGCCTCGGGTCATGACATGAAAGCTATTGTGCAATGTATGTCAGGGAAGAGCTAGTAAATACACATGAAAAGTACCTACTTCCTTTACGGCTGACAAAAGATTTTGATTTGAGTTGATACTCATCATGCGCAGAAGAGAAGCTTTGGGTGCCTAGAAAGCTTTGATGTCAAAGCCAGAGATGTCTACAGAGTTTAGGTATTTGTAGGGTTCAGAAGCAACTGGTTCAATATGTCTGATCCTCTTCCCATTGAAATCAATAGCAAAACTGCCACCAGCTTCATTTGGAATAGACTTTGTGTATTCGTTGACTTCCTTCAATCTGATTTAATTGAATCAATCAACATAATCAACCACAGCTGGAGAAACAGGTTGTTGGCTGTAGCCATGTTGGTCTAGGGATATAGGCAGGGAAGGTTCTTTGGGTAGATGTGATATCTTTTATTAGACCAACTAAGTAGTTCTTGGTTGTAGCTGTGTTGGCCTAAGGAGAAACATGCGTGCTTTCTAAAATGGCTTTAAAACAATTGTCTTGTAGCCTGTAAACTGCAACGCATGGCTGTTAGAATTGAGAAGCCAGTTGGTTTTGAAAAACAGATCTCAGAATGCCATTCGGTCGAGCCAGTTTTACGCTGCGTGAAAGGATGCTCAGCCACCAAAACCGTTCCCATCTCTGTTGGCTTCCGTTGTGCGCTAGCTGGTAAGTCTACACAAGCCATATCCGGTCAGCAGACTCCAGCCTGTTTGCTCAGCCAGCATGTCCACATCGCACTGTTAAGACTCCCAGGAGTTAGCACCCCCCAGCTCTGCAGCTGTAGGAGGGAGAGCAGCCCCCTCCTGCCACACAGCTGTTCCAGATGCAGACAGTTTGCCAAGAACCTTCAGCCCAGAGGGGGGAGGAGGGAAGAGACACAGGCACATCTAGAAAGGGGAAAGCTGGGGTGAGGTGCATCAGCACCTACAAATGCACTATTTTCTCCCATTAAAAAACAGAAGTGACAATTTTTGCCTGATCTGGCACCAGAAAGCAGTTTAAAGCTGGGACTAAACACAAGTACAGGCTGCAGACTGCTTGAAAAGTGGCTGATCTGGTAAAAATCTGACCCCTCATTGAATGAGGTATCTGATAAAGACATTTCAAAATGTAGCATCTTTTGTAATTTGCCTGGGAAGTTCCCCCTGAGGTCTTCAGCACCGCCTGGGGAACCCCAAGAAGAGCTTCCCTCTGCTGCCTCCCCCACTCACTCCTAGGGTGAGACCAGCAGCACTGGCTGTTGCTGAGGCACCAGCTGGATTCCCCTTGCCCTGGAACCAGCAGGACCTCCTGTCTTGTCCGGGGTAACCTGTAACCCCGACGCTTTGCAGAAACACCCCGAGTTGCAGCTGGGAGCTGCACTTCTGCCTGCACCCAGCATGTTTCACTCTTAGGGTCGCCAGCTCTATTTGAATCTATTCTAGGAGGTTTCATCACATGACGTAGCATTAATGACTGATCTACTGTCCGGAGTAGACTTTACGCCAAAGAGGCAAATGCACGTTATTACTACATTTAAAGAACTCACTGAACTGCTGTATAAACTGGATTTAACATTTAATTGAATGAACGTCCTATCATGTGCCTGCGGGGCGACTCTCGGCAGTCTCCTGGGGAATTTAGGTCTAATTCCTCGGGTCTCTAGGGCAATCCTGGGCGGTTGGCAACCCTATCTACTCTCCCAGGCGCCGCTGAAGCAAAATAAAGCCTCTGCAGGCAGAGCGGGAAGTAGGAGCGTAGAGTCCGAGCCTGCTGGGCAGGGCTGTCCCCGATCACCCTCCGTGTCCTTCGCAGACTCCCAGCCCAGCTCCGCCGAGCTGCAGCGGACACCTGAAGACCTGCAACACCGCGTGGACGCTCACGAGGCTTGCGCATGCGCCCGGCTGCGCTGTCCGACCTGAGCCCGCCCCGCGCGGAACCACCAATCACGCGCCGCGTCGCGGACCAGCCTTGCTCTGGCCGCCCAATAAATCAGTGTGTTTGACAAGCACGTGTGGTCTGCGCGTTTGTATCCCGCGAGCACCCAGGGGAAGGTTGTCCCTTGTCCCTTCCCGTCGTACAGCCTAACGGACGCCGGAGGCATGAGGTGGCTGCGGGGCGCCCTCGCGCTGCTGCTGCTCCTCGTGGCGCTGCCCTCGGCGGCC